ATATTCCTTCTGACCCTTGTTGTAGCCACACTGCCTAACTCTCAGTCCTCTGGGATCTCCCTGTTTAACCAGAACTAATGATAAATAATGGAAAGTGGCTTGGCAAACTCCTCCACCAGCTCCTTCAGGATCCTCAATTGGATCCCATCCAACCCCATAGACTTGTGAGTGCCTAAATGGTTCAGCAGGTCACTAGCTACTTCCTCCTGGATTGCAGAGGGTCTGTTCTGCTCCCTGTCCCAGTCTACAAGCTCAGGGGCTGGTTGGTCTGAGAATAGCAGGTCTTTCTGTTGAAGACTGAGGCAAAGAAAGCATTAAGTATCTCAGCCTTTTCTTCATCCTTGGTTAAAATGTTTCCCCCCACATACAGTAAAGGATGGAGGTTTTCCTTTCCATCATTTTGTTGTAACTGTCTTTAGAAAACCACTTTTTATTGTCTTTCACAGCAGTGGTCAGATTGAGTTCTAGCTGAGTTTCGCCTTTCTAAGTTTCTCTCTACATGATCTGGCAACATCCTTGTACTGTTCCTGAGTTGCCTATAAGAAAAATAAGAAGAATAAGAGGATAAGAATATGAAATGCATTCCACCGGCCTGGGACATCTTCTCTTCTTCAAGGTGAGACCATAACTAATCCTCAAAGGCAGAGATATTGTTTTAGAGAACAAGGATGGCATTTGGAAAAGCAGGTAAAAAGTCATCTGGATGGATAAAAAGTTTATTCCACTACAGACTATCACATTCTACCAGATCAGTAATCATTCCTTCTTCAAACCTATTTATTGCAGGAGTAAAGGTCCAAAGCTCTGCTTTTCTTTTTTTGCTTATAATATTTACTGCTAATCTAGATACTGTTCGTTACTACGGCCAGCCATTTAATTATTTACTGGCCTGTTTCAGTTCAGTTCCTGATCTTTTTAACTATTTGTTAATTATGTGGCATCAATTCAATCACAGAGCATGAGATAAAATAAATATATATAGAGAGAGACAGATAGCTCCCCCCCCCCCCAAAGTATGGTGTACAAAGACTGGAATAATATCTCAACTATTCTTTACTGTAGAACTACTTAGCCACTACTTATAAATGTATTTTTTCACCTATTATTTACCATTTAGTTTAAGACAGCTACATATACCAGTTAGGTCAAACTTAAGTCTACACATTATGCATAAAAATTAGTCCTAAAAACCATTTAGCATTCTATTTTGCATTTGACTAAAAAAACCCCAATAGTTAGTGTTGGGAGAAGCCTGTAAAAAAAAGGACAAGAAAAATTCCAGCCACAGTTAATTTGTGATTCAGGGGTCCCTGTTGTAAATCTTGTATCTCATAGGCCTTAATATATTTTTAATCCCTAAAATTGTCAAGACATTTCTATGAACTCATATGATTTTTTTTACCATATGTACAAGCTGTTTCATGTGTTATCTAAATAACTGTCCTTTTTTGTTTGTTTTCTACTTGAAACCTACTTGACCCTTAGTTCTTTACTGGAATAGACAGTGAATGATCATTACTTATTCACCCTCGTCATCCCATTTCCGGCTTGAGAGACCTCTGCAAGGTCTTCTCTATCTAAAGACAATAATAGCAAAAAAAAAAAGTTTCTAATAAAACAAAATTAATTCCAGAAGAAACCAAGTGCTTATAGTAACTAAGAGTCATGGTATCAGTGAAACCCAGCTAAATCAATCTCTTCTACTAAAGAACATTTCTTTCAGCCTCTTCTTTTTGACTTGTGACATTTTGCTGATTTTATTAAAATAAGGCTTATTTCTGTTGTTTGTATGTTGTTAAGCTGGAACTTCAGCAAAATTGCTTCTGTTGAAGTATTGTGCAGTTATATGCACTTTTTACCTCTTCTCTTGCAGGCTGTTACAGTGCATATGTAGTTGTTTTGAGGCTATAGAATTGTGTCTGTTTCCTGTATCAAACATCAATTGCAATTGCATAATATTTTAAGTATGGGCTAATTTTTCTAAACACCATAGTAGGTCTGCAGAAATTCATGTATGAGTAGTCTGAAATTCTATTGCTTTGGAGTATTTCCTTGAACACAATTTTCTTTTTATCATCAACTCAAAGATTTGTTTTAGTTTTTAAGAACACAGATACAGTACCTCTCTTCATGTGCAGATTTTAAATCTTGGGAATATAACAAATTGAATGAGTCATTTAATTTAAAGCTTACTAATATTCATATGGTTAACCATTAAGGTTCACTGTTGCTTTTCTCAAGAAAGCTGCTTAGCATAAGGACTGTTTTATACTGGTCTTTGCTCCTTGTTTAGGTTGTCATTGATCTGTGCAATTTCCTTGCTGGGCGGAAAGGTCTGACACCTTTCTGCAGAAAGAATGGCTTAAGACAGACAATCTGGGACAAAGGGGGTACATTCAGCAAGATATTCAACAAAATTTTCTGCATTGACATGTAGGTAATATATGAATCTTGGACTAAGAAAATTAAGGCTGTTCCTGAGCCAATAAACTTTACCCTCTTAACTGTCTTTCAGTAGATTTCAATAACAGGATTCTGAATGAGCTCCAGTAAGAATAGGAATACAACTGTGTCTGTCCATGTCAGTCCAGTGTAATTAAGCTTTCCCGCATGTTTTAACAAAAACTGTATTTCTGGCTCAGTGGGGAGTTAAGCATTCATACTCTTAAAATCAGAAAAACACAAAATAAATGTTGTCATTCAGTTTTTTCATCACAGACCAATTTACTGCCTGTAACCATTTAAAGCCAACTGTTGACAAATATTTCAACTGCAACCAACAAAGGTTGAGATCCTTATTTAAAAAAACCTTGATGTAGAAATGCTCTCTTTGAACCAAATGTGGGAGCTTTGATTTTTTTACTGGGAAACTGCAAAGAAAATCAAACATGTTTTTCACTTTCAGAAAGCCTCTAATCTCTCAGAAATTAAACCTATGGTATTTACGAAAGAATATAGGTGAGAGCTCCTTGTTCTATTAGGTGTTTGGAATGAATCTGCTTTTCTGAATGCTTTGCTGTCTTGGGAGAAGTCAGTCTACTTTATGCTTTCTTACGTAAGGAAACATATTCTTAAAAGATTTACAATTTGTAATGTAAATTAAAGAGGTATTGCAAGTTTGATTTCATGTCTGCAATCTTAAATGCCCCAGCCAAAGAGCATAAACCTACTTTTCCAATAGAGGTCTATTTCCCTGTGCTCTGTGCTTACTTCTCAACAATATTCACTCACCTTTGCACTGAACAGGTTATGGATGATATTCCTGAACTGCTGTAAGAACAATGTGGAGTTTCTCCTCCAGTCAGTTCACATGCTTGTAGGTTTTCTTTCACCGCCACATACCACAGCCATAAGCTCCAGGATGCTCCCTGCTACTCAACTCCTACTTAACTTATCACGTATGGCAGAGACCAAAACACTGATCTTTGGCTCCACCTTGTGATCTCCCTGTCGAGACCAGCAAAGATTAAATGAGGAAATCCTCAATCCTGATTCCAGATCCAATTTTGATCTCTCTGCCTGTATAGGAAATAGAAAAAAACCCCAGCCAGTTAGATTCTAAAGGTCAAACTACTGACTTTAGAAGAAGAAATAGGGTTGAAAAGTGTAACTCAAGAAAAATATCTAGGCTCAGAAGTGTGAAATAAATTACCCCAGAGAAGAAAACAAAATAAAAAGTGCTGGAAGTTGGCGGGCAGCCTGGGGGTTATCATCTGTAACTAAAATGGTCATTTTGGTAAAGCACCAATTATAGAATACATAAAATAGGATACAAAATTCCTGTTGCTGTCAAATACATTGACAAAAAGAACTAGTGAAAAATATACCCAGAGTTTATTTTACTACATAACATGGCGCTATATATATATGTATATTCAGTATGAGCATTTTTTCTTCTCATTTTCAGAAATATTACTCTGATATAAGAACTGACTACATAGGTAACTCTTGGTTCCCAGCAGGAAAAAAACATAAGTCAAGTATTAACGTCAGTTTCTGCTTTGTGGGAACATACTGTGGCCAAAAAGATTTTGAAATTATTTGCACTGTTAAAGCTTGAGTGAGTACCAGTGCATAAAGCTGATAGCATAAGCTGAGTCCCTGGAAAGTACTTAGCTTTCATAATTCAGAGCAGTTACTGCCATCGGTAAAGTACAGAACTGTGGAAGATAATCTCCTCAGCAGACAAAAGGTCAGGCAATAAAACTTTTGCTTTCCATTTTCTAGAAGAAATTAATCATATTAATTAATGAAATGTAAAAAGAAGGGGTGCTTTCACATTGAGTTTCTATTGGCGATATAGTTTCCCTGAATTTTCAGATTTGATTTATTACTATTTTTTAAATGTTGATAGGATATAGAGCTAAAAATATTTTAAATCTTTCAACTTCCAATCAACATAGTGCATGTGAAAAATGTTACCTCTTGGATAGTTTATATATTTTCACTGCTGTAATAACTGCCAGAGAAGCAGTGCACTGAAACGGAGAATGCAGCTCACCTGCATTCACCTCAATAAGCTATGTGAGCATATTTGTTCTGCTGCTTTGATACCACAGTTACATACGGATAGGAGCCTAGAGGGGTCTGAGCGATGTTATTAGTAATTTGGCCATTTAATGATCTTAGATGCAATCACTAATCTACAATCAAATCATGGTAGTGCACAGAGAAGTTCAAAATGAATTGTGGTAAAATACTGATGAATTTCTAATATGTAGGTTAAGTGCTGCTGATATTGTGAGAGCATATTATGTTATAAAATAAAGAGATGTGTCTCCTTGTGCTAGAAGCTTCTCAAAATGTAAAAGAAAAGTAATAAGCAAGGAAGGTAAAAAGAGAAGGTGAGTTACTTTGAGCTTTGAAAACACAGTCAAACATGGCTACAAAGCTAATTTTAAAGTAAAATTTGCTTTATCCAGGAAATTATTTGTACCATGGCTTATAATTAGAAGATGAAGGTATATAATTTGTCAACAATTATCTCTTCTTTCTTGTAGATGAAAGTTTTCATTATTTTGGGTCTTTCAGCAGCTACAGCCTTCACAGCTGTTTTCTTTTCTTTCCTTCAGATAGGCAAAGATACCATCTTTGGTAAGTAACAGTAAAAATAAATGTTATTTTCTTTCATTGACTGTTGAAAATACACTGGCACTGGAGACAGTTTAGCAATGGCAGTATAGCTTAATCTCTTTTTGTGTTCAAGATATACTGACTGGTTTCTGTGAGAATTATTCCATGGGTGTTTTCTTTTAAAATGCATCTTCATAAACTCACAAAATAAAGCTTTTTATGTGCAATGTATCTCAATCACTTATTCTTTGACTAGGAGTGATTTTACTTTCCTAGTGATATTCATACATCAGATGATACATTTACAAACACGATTGACAGATTTCTTTCCCCATTACCTTTAGTCATCCTGGGCTAGAGGCTGTTGCCATAGGAAGCCTCATCTGGCACGCTGGCCCACAAGGGTGCATATCTCCTGTGGGTTCATTTGGTATTGGCACCCTGTGGATTTTAGAGCACCTCAGATAGCAATAGTTCCTATGTTCAAACAATGCAATCTTGTCATTTTTAGCATCACAGCAGTTTTATTTGCATTTGCTCAATCTAAATAAGTTAGATCTTGTAAACTAGGAATGTAAGCAGATAATAGATTGAATTTTAAAAGAAATCTGCAGAGACTGATTTTACATGGAATTAGGGCAGAGATAATAAGGAAACAGGATTTTCAAACTTTACTTTCTCTTAAATACTTTTAAGTAAAGGATTTCTTCCTAACATCTAATGTCAACCTGCCCTTGATCAGTTTAAAATCATTGCCTCTTGTCCTGTCACTATCTGTTCACATAAGTCCCCCTCCCTCCTTTTTATATGCCCACTTGAGGTTCTGGAAGGCCCCATACATGAATATACATGGACTGTAAATAAATAGAAAGATGAACTGCATATGATTCTTTTTAGAGTAAGTGTCTTTTAGTCTCATGGGAACAGTATAAAATAATGTTTATTACTGCAAGAACCACATTTTTGAAAACAGTGTATTGGTACCAAAATCGTACTTCTCAGCAGAATAGGAAGAGAGACGATGGAATTCAGGTATAGCAAGTGGATCTTCTCTTTTAGATCAGAGTAGGAACCAATATCACATAATGAGCAATACTTTAAACATATTATATTTCTCAGAGGTAAACCACCTAAAAGTAATTAGAAAACATAATAAAGTTTAAAATAATTACTTGTCATGTTGCCTATAAAGATCAGACTTGTTTTATAACATAGACATTCAGATATAGCAGAAATATCAAATGAATCATCTGAATATTTTATCATGCATAGGTGAAAAAGAGAAATAACTACTGCTGTACTTAGGTGCTGAGATCTTTAGGAGAGTGGAGTATAATTTTCCATAGCAAAGATTACTCCTCATCACATATTATTTTCCATTAAGCTGAGTGTCCTACTCAAAAAATAGATCACAGAAATAGTACAGTATGGACTACAGATAAAATATGTTCACCTAAAATTACACTGTACATAAATTATGAACAATTGTACATAAATTATTGTTATTATTTTTTATTACTCATTTTCTAAGAAAAAATGGACCATCCTACAAAATACAGGTGGAAATTAAACCTCTGGACTTTAAATGTGACTGATTCTTTTAATATAAAATTGTATGTACAAAAGAGGAATAAACCAAGTTTCATAATAGCAGTATACAAAATAGCACAGCTGAAGTATTATTAGGTTCACATATATCTTTCCATCAAACATAGATGAAGAAAGGAGAATAGGACTTTGATTCATTGGTCCAATTCCACAAGTCTTAAAGTTTTTTAATTATACCTGAATATGTACTTGAATTCTTCATGTGTCTCAACCTCTCATTACCTGTGAGGAAGGCTCAGATTTGTCCCATCAATCCAAGGACAGATTAATGAAAAATACATAGGAAGCCAATTAAGCATAATTGCATACAGAGAACACAGCATGTTTCAGCTGGACCTATTATGTTTGGTACTATATAACGTGTCCATAACTGGATTTATACTTAAAGGAAATCTAACTCTTCAAGCTTTACAAATTATGGAAGAATTGATTTACTACCCCTACCTTACCTTTCAGAAGGGTCAGAAGCCATAATATTAATTTCAGGAATACTAAAATAAGGAGATGATTTTAAAGGGGAAACATTGCACCTTAGTATTAGAGACCTATATATTTTCTAATTTTAAGTATTTTAATAACTACACTGTTGATTAAAATATTCATATTTCTTTTCATTTTTTTTTTCCCCTGTTAAGAAGAAATTGAAGATAACTGCATTACTAAGGCTATCCAGAAGGGTTCTAGTCTGGTGGATTATTCTGCACGTTATGAAATGAACAGGTAAAAAAAAAAAGACGTGAAGAATCTATTCTGCAAAAATCTTTAATAACAGAAATGATGTAATTTTTCTGTTTCTTTGAGAAAACATATCATCACAGATTCACTGCACCCATTACCTTTGAGAAACCTGATCGAATGGAAGGTGTTCCTGCCTATGGCAGGAGGTTTGGACCTAGATGATCTTTAAGATCCCTTCCAACCCAAACCATTCCATGATTCTGTGATTATGTCACTGATCATCTGATCCAGTATAACCTTGTGCATTATCACCATATAAATTGCTCTCTTAAAATGTGAGAAAAATAAGAAACATAAAAATAAATAGGAATGTGTTCTGATCTAAATAGCAAACCACATTCCATTAACATGTGAGTCAAAAAATATAATTTTATGAACATTACATACTTTTGCACATTAATTTTTTTGTCCAGGTCAGAGTGAGATGGGAGCAGCTCCTACGGCTTCAGTGTCAAAACCCTGTTGCCTTAAATTGGACTGTTAAAGTGAATTTCATATTTCCCCTTCCATCTAAAACAGATGTAATGAAATGATAAGGGAAAGGAAATATAACATTTATCTTGAACTGTGGGTAGGTAATAACTTAGGGAAAGCTCCTTTGTGCTGGAGTTATGCTATGAGAGGGATCTCTTTAAATCACGTTCTGTGTAGCTCTGACTAGATTTCTATGCTATACAGAATTAATTTCTCTCCAGAATTTGGAATACATCAACTAAGTTTTACAGGGTTCAATTATCACACTTTTTCTTAGATTTTCGTAAAGGATTTACTCCTGTGATTTGAAAATGAGTCACGATTTGCAGAGCTCTGTTAGAGATGACTGTTTATATGGACAGAACCTGTCAAGAAATGTGGCCACTGTAGAGACTGAGGTAATTTTCATTTTATTGTGGTTTCATTTTTGGTGACAACTCTGAGGCATTTAAATTTAAAAACACAAGTCTCAACTTCTCAGTGGCTCAGCTGCCTCACGTACTAAATGGAGATACTGATGTTTATTTATCTTACAGTATACTGTGACAATTATTTGGTCAATATCTTACAGATGATAAATGATAAAAGGTGTTAAAGTTAAATGCTAAATGATGATTGTTTCAATCAGGATTTGAAATTTTATTAGGAATAAAACTGAGACCACTTAATCACCCCAAATGAATCACCAGACTCTTAAACTTCCTTTGAAATATGGTGTATGTGGATATACAGACTCTAAAGAACATTGGTACTCAGAAGTCCTATTATTGGATTCCCTTTAAAAGCCTTTATAAGAATTGCAGATTTACAGTAGGGTGAGGTTGGAAGGGATCCCTTGAGGTCCAAACCCCCTGCTCAAGCATGGCCACCTAGAGCCTGTTGTCCAGGATCATACAGCTTCTGAGTATCTCCAAGGAGAGACTCCACAACTTTTCTGGGCAACCTGTGCCAGTACTGAGTCACCCTCCAAGTAAAAATGTGTTTCCTGATGTGCAGACACCACCTCCTGTGTTTAATTCAGTTTGTACCCATTGACTCTGGTCTTGTGACTAGGTACTTCCTAGGACCTCACCATGGTCCACACTAGGACTTATATGCTTAAACATGTACAAAATACACTTCATGACTGATTTCATATTCCTAATAATGATACTATCGTGGGTCATTCTACTAGCTTTAGGAAGCTATTTCTGCATTACTAAATACTGAGACAGTTTGCAACTTACACAGTGTTCAGCTTTAAGAGTATGGGTAAGAGCTAAAAGGGACTAGCATGTATACATTGAGTAAGGGCATGGGGTAGAATGGGCAAGAAATGTGGCAAACTAATTGCTGTGATAATCTTACGGGGCCTGTGAGATTAAAGAAATAAAATATCTCTTAATTGAACACATCTTGCCCTTAAAGATGATGGTGGTTCAGTTTTGGGGTTAGGTTTTGGGATTATTTTAGGGTATGGGTTATTTTTGATTCTTACCTCCTAGATAATTTGTACAAATATTTTCATTTAACTCATTTGTATAGAGATGTTTGTCTGTTCATGTAAGTTTTCTTAAATGATGCTTGACTTATATTATCCCCGTGCAGATATTAAAATACTGAACTTGAGTTCTTGCATTTAGTTACGTCATCTTTCTATTCTTTTTAATTGGGACACAGTTCAGGACTTTTAATACTCCAGATTCTCTGACAAATTCTTTATTGTCTATAAAAGACCTGAAAAACATGGTGCTGAAGAGCAAGATAGTTCTTTTTCATAGTTGCTCTGCTCTTCAAAGAAAAGGAATAGTTTCTTTGTAAGGAATAAATAAACATGCTAAGTCTCCTTTGGATCAATTAAGGGCAAATTTAACATCTAGAAAAACCTTTGGAGTTTTATTTTCTTACTTAATACCTTTTATGTAAGCATATTTCTGATTTTGCAAACAGAAATTTAGCTGTTCGCTTTGCCCAAATCAAAACTGTTGATTGCATTTTAAAATTTTCTTGTGCTTTAAGCACAAGAATATGACAGTAATGAATATGACAGTGCATTTTCATGAAAATTGCATATCCAAAAAAGAACTATGTTGCAGAGAAGCCCTCAGGAATGCCTGAAACCTATGACCATTCCATAAATGGAATAAACAGGAGTGTTTTTTCCTAAGTTGTAAGGAGTCAGTTTAGGACTTGGGTCTTCCAGCTGAAAAGGAAATTCCCTCTGATGCACTTTTCTCAAGGCTCCTCTGCCGAAAAAACTACAGTGGCAAGACAGCCCATGCTGAATAAAAAAAAAAAATCTTGCAGTGAACCACTGAATGGTTGAGAGAGATGTGGAGACCACCTAGGCCAATGCTGTGTTCAGAGCAGGATCAACTAGAGCAGGTTGCTCAGCACACTGTCCATTTGGGCTTTGAATGTCTCCAACGATGGAGACTCCACTACCTCTCTGGGTATCCTGTTGCAGCGTCTGACTACCCTTACAGGAAAATGAGTTTTCATATGTTTAAGTGGTTAACTTTATGTTACAGAAGTTATCTCATCAAACCTGAACTCCTTGAAGTTAGAGGTAAGGCCAATCTGTAAGCTAAAATATATACTATATAACTGTCTAATTAAGCCCTACTAAAGTAATTGCTGAAACTCCATATACAAGTAGTCAGAGCCAGCCAGGTGTTTGGACAGTTTCTAAGAAGACAAGTCTCTATCATAAACTGCAGATAGCATCTAAACAGCTGTGGGCCAGTTGCTTGACTCCCAGGTGCTAAGGCATTTGCAAATCCACCTCCAGTGATTGACATGGTCATTGGTATTAAACATCACATGAAAGCAGAGCCTACTCAAAGCAGTGAGTAGGGAGCCCTCTATTGGGACTGTCCTGCACAAGGTCTTCCCAGCTACAAGCTCTCTTAATACCAGCAGTTTCTGTCTCATCCTAAAGGCTTCCCACAAACTTAACCTTTGTTGTGTGTGTCCAGTGGAAGAACACTTTCCCTTTCTGAATTTTCCTTGCAGAGCAAGATCACAAAACAGTCTTCCTCTTTGCTTTCCCAGTGTACCCTTCAATCAAAATGTACCTTAACTTGCAACATATCCAACACAGACAAAAAAAGCTATGAAAAATTCTGAAGTTCTAAAAAGTTGCAAAACCTTCTGTATTTTATCTCAAATATAGAATAATCCAAGGAAGTGGAATAGCAACCCCTACCTTGCTTCTGGCTTTCTCAAAATTTCCTGAGCAAGAGAGTCAAGATATTTCCCAAGCAGCTGAACAAATGGAAATGTCGATTCAGGTGCTGAAACAAAAAGTTTGCCAGAAGCACAAACGTTCATTGCATCAAACTGGTAAATATAGCATATTGGCACCCCCATCCCCCTGCCCCCCACTGATTTCTTGAATGCTATGTTCTAGATTAAAGTTGAGTTAACTTCACTTTTACTTTACCTCTGGCACTAATTCATATCCTGTTGTCACTTTGGGGCCAGGAAGCACTTGCTTTTGTTCTTAAAAGTACCTCATTCACTGGTTTACATTTTTCTTTGCTGGAGCGTGGGTGGTGTTCCTATAGTTGAGGAGAGCAGCATCACGCTATTGGCATCCTGTGAACTCATGACTGTATATTTTTATTGCCTATAAATAAGCTTGCACATCATCAGTGTTACAAGCTTCTTGTTTACTGTGAAATCCTCCCCAGCACTTTCAGTTTAGTGTTTGATCTTTCATCACTTTACGGCATTGCTATTTTCAAACACACTTCCTCTCGACATTGATTGCCTTATGCATATTCCTCTTTTAAGAAAATATGTTCTTATTTCCAAAACTGATTTTGTAATAGATTACTGTTACACATTTATTTCTACTTTAGCTGGGTTTTTTTATGTTAGAAAGGGAAAGAAAGAGAGATAGTCCAGAAAATTCAACATTGGATAATTGTCTAAGTAAAGAAAAATTCTTGCTGTTAATTAGAGATGAATTTCAAGATGTCTATCTGGTGTCTGGAAGGCTCAAAAGTTCAGAAATGTTTACTAATTTTTCCATAATTTAATTCTGTCACTTACATGAAATGTTCTGTCATAGTATTGTAACATGACATTTTTTTCAAGATTAGAGCTCTGTAGACAAACATAAAGCTCCACAGTTATTTTGTTATTTTATTTCCATGCAGAAGCATCTGGCTTACTAAACTAATAGGACATTTGTAGAACTAAAAATATATCTATATCGTGTGTGTGCATATATTCATACACACACAGAGATACGATTATTTTTGTGCTGTGCAATTTAAAAAGAAATTAAATTTCTAAACAGCAGAAGTGCACAAAACTCTTGTTAATTTTTAAAGCTGTAACAACATTAATGGAACGTAAATAGACACTGTACAGTCTATGTGCCACAAAAGAATAGTTTTACATGGATTAAAGAACTTACTTGACTTTAAAGAAAACACGTGAGTCAATACCTAGGCAGCAAAGATAACTAAGTATAATTTTGAACCTGAACTAACAAGGAAGTACAGCTGTATCTACAAATTTGGAAAAAGTGACTAGTAGAAAACGACAAGGTTATGTAGCCAGTCTAACAACCTCTGCTCTCTCTGTTCTCACTCCTGCCTTGCACAGTTTTTAAGTGCTCAGCAGAACATTTTTCAAGCTGATTTGGCTCTTAAGCCTTTTTTTATTTTTTGCTTTTCTGGCTTAATTTTTTGGTTTGATTAATGAACTAAAGCAGCTTAGTTCAGAGCTGAATGGACAGAACGAATAGGTAGTGGGAATGAGTGACCTGCATTAGCCAGTGGGTAGACAAGGGCAAGAGTTATATATTACCTCTACCACTTTCTTCCAGCATCTGATATTTATAGTCAGTTTAAATGTCAAGGGTTCTCTGAGTTCAGGAAGCATATTCATAGAATCATACAATGTTTTGGGTTGGAAGGGACCTTAAAGAACACCTAGTTCCAATACCCCTGCCATGGACCTTCCACTAAACCATTTTGTTCCTATTTCATTTGTATATCCACCTCCAACTGGCCATACACGTGCTTAAATAGACGGAGTGAGGAGAGGGTGCCAGCTCTCTGGGGTTTACACAACAGTGTGACTTCGTCCCTCATCATCAGTTGTTCACTGGGACACCCATCCTGGATCATATTACAAATATATTAATGACATACTGTCTACTGTTATATCAGTACCTGAATTTACCTAGCTTCCAAATTCCAGTTAATAATTATGATCCTCTTCCACTCAACACTGAATTCTATACTCAGCTACAATGTCTTTAAATTTCTTCATCTTTCCAGTCCCACATTTTTCTTCCTTGGTATATACTTTTGTTATTGAATGACATTTTTTACACCTTTGTTGTAAGCACAGGGACCAGCCAAGCAAAGGATTACAATGCAGGGAAAGAAGGAAGCAGAGATCAGGTCAAAGGAAGAGACAAAAGGGCAGGTCAACCTCAGTCCTCAGCTATTGCTGGACTACTTTCTTCTCATTCTCTGTGCATCAAAAAATAAAACCAGCTCTTCCTCTAAGTATCTGAGGCAGCCTCTTGCAACACCTCTAAATAAGTGCTCTTTCCTAGGAAGAAGAGAGAGAATGCTGTAGTTGCAGCTGACAATAATGCCTTTTCTACTGCAGCAGCTATATCGCATACAGCAAATTGCTTGTCTGGGTTCTTCCTTTCAGATCTTTTATCAGCTGATCTGCTCACTAGGATTGCTAATATTTCTGGATGTCTGCCTTATATGTTGCCACCAAAATGTCCAAACAATTGCTTAGCTAATAAATATCGACTCATCACTGGTGCGTGCAATAACAGGTATGTATGATAAGAATTGTGCCCTGAAAAATCCTCCTTTCTTCTTCTGTAAATTCACACTGCGTTTACTTTTTCCCAGAAAATTGGTGGAGGGGAAGTGGCCTAAATCAGTTAACTTTGACATCAACATGTCTCCACATGAAGTGCCTCTGAAAGTTCCCAGTGAAAGAACTCATCATTTAAACTTTGGTACACTAAATTTTGTAGACAGGCTCTCCCTCTGAAGACCTCTAAGGTTATGTGAGGAACTTTACTTTTAGGGAGGACTGATCCAGTAGATGCCTTTTCCTTTATAAATGGAACAGACTTAATTCTAACCCAGCATTTATTTTTGATTGAATTGGACAAAATTACATTAAGTAGGACAATATAATTACTTTTTCAGGAGCAATAGGACAATCAAGTAGATTCTCATTTTTATATTTTCCCACAACCCTAACTGTTAGCAAGCATGCATCTAAATATTCTGTGTGATATATTTAATTTTATATATCTGTTTATATAAATATATGTTTAGTGGTTATCTGAATGACTATTTTTTAGTACTATGCCTACTTGTTGCCTAATCTATGTGGCAATTGTTTCCTGCAAAACCCAACATAGCAGTTGTATGTGGCAATTTTTTCCTGCAAAACCCAGTGTAATAGATGTAACTGTCTCTTCAGAATCCTCCAATGCAATGAGGGTGTAAAACTGAGAATGAGAGCCCTTTTAAGTTCGAGGGCAAATGATATTTATACTCTGCAGCCTTTGTATACATAGACATGAGGTCACAAACTGAAGGGCAGGCTATAATGTTACAAGTGAAGGGCTACAGAGATGAAAGCGGAAGGCCATTAGCGTTGCACAGGTTAAGGTGCTTTGCAATGTGGTGAATGCAGGACAATGAAATTCTGCAGTTTTATTATTCAATCAGTCTGTTTTTATGAGGTAAATCTATTTTGCTACATTCATTTGCAAGGAGCATGCCTGCTAGACTCTTTGCTGAAAGGACACAACCTGATATGCATCAATTTTATAAATGTAACTATGTGGATACCCATAATTTCCCCCAGGCACTTGCAGAGTTGCTTGGAATCTGAACTAGCAGCTAGTATAATATTTGCACTGACAGCTCCATCAGGGCTTGAATACATTGACCAAGATTCATGCAGTTGAACATAGGCACATGGCTGAAGCTCTTAATTTGCAGACATGGCTGTGTAGTCTTTCTCCCTAGAGATGGAGACAAGCACACTGCTGTAGGTAAGGTAGAAGACCTTTTTCTCTTCAGTAACTGATAGTACTAGGATCTGTATAGACATTTCAGTCTGGTTTCTAGAGCTGGGTAAGGTAAATAATCCATTGAGTCTGGTTAGTCTGCAGTCACTGTGTTCTACTCTGTATATTTTTATGCTTGCACCGCATCACAGTTTAAACCCACCACTTGCATTTGGTGGTATTTTAGACTCTGCTCTAAATTTATGTAAAAGGTGTAAGGCAGAAAAAAAAAACAAAAACAAAGACTTCGAAACCAGTGAGTCAGATCTCACTTTGTGAGCCATCTCTACCAAAATACATCAGCTTAAAAAGCCTCTTGTACTATTGTAGAGTCTTTATATAATAAAGAAATGGAGTCTGCTCCCAGCTGAGGAGGTGGTCAGAGAGAGATTTATTCAAATCCCACGCCCTCTTCTATCCCTTGAACTCACGTGACCTTGTGACCAATGAGGGTACATATTTCCACACATGTCACCTGGGCTTCCTTGCCCTGGGTGCTTCCCCTGCACCCCTGGATACGCTTCCTACATACTATAATGTAAATAACATGTTATGTGATGTAAACCACCTTTAAAGACTTCACAGACATTTAATGAAATACCAGTCTGTGCTTTTCCTTGCTTTACAGATACCACTTTCTGGCAGAAAATATATCAGGACATATGTTGCATTTGTACTTTTGGTCACCCAGTAGGAATGTGATGCTGTGCTGTAGTTCAGTAAATACTGCATTTCATAGTTTAAAAACAAAACTCACACTGGAATTGTTTACTTACAAGAAAAATCTGCTTAAATCTATTTAGAAGTGAACAAGGAAATGCTTTACAGATGTTTTACTAAATCAGTTCATGTGTTTGGCACAAATCAGATCAATTACAAAAGATTTATTTCACAGCACTGAGATTACTTTGTTTTAGTGTGCACTTCCTGGAACAAAGGCATAGCAGAATACCATAAACATGGCCTTCTATGGAGAATATCAACATGGCATCAGACACTCCAGCAGTGCCATTATCCACATTTACTAGTAACAGATATCAAGAGATTCTGCTTTTCTTTCTGTCCTAAAGCATATTTGTGAATAACAAGCAAAACAAAATTACATTTTTTCATTTTAAAATGACGCATAAGGAACAGAAAAAAAATCCAAAGAGCTATTTCCCCCCCCTATTTTTTATAGCAACTAACTAGGATTGATTTTTGTATTTTTTAGTGTCTAGTGCAATGAGAGGGATTCAAGGGTGAAGAAATTACAAGTACTAAAGGAATGGAATCTTATAGTGCAATCAGCTTCAACTAATCTTAGCTTTCAGAGGTAGTTATACATCTACTGCAAGGCTATGTCTTGGGCTGTTCCTAGCAAGGAGAAGTAGAATGGAATGACAGGATGGCACCTACGAATTGCCTGTCCTTCTGGCTTGATGGACAGGTTCTTAGGTGACTAGCTTACTTTTTGTACACCTAGTATTTGAGCATCTAGAAGGAATTTTATCAGCAGCATTTCTATTTCATTGCTCTGTCATTAACTATTCCATCAGGTAAGGATGCTCAGTCTAAAGGTCTAGTACCACTAGAGTTAGGAGTATGAGTATGGCTCACCTAGTGAAAAGAACAAGCAGTCTTCACTGAAGCCATTGACTATAAGAGGGAATTGAGATGTTTCCTTTAGGATAGCAACTTCACTTCAATACGCTAAGTGTTCAATTTAGTGACAAGCTTATTTTCCAGAAGTGTTCTATGTTTGCCAGAAAGTATTTCCATGTTACTTCAGTGTATTGTAAAACATTTAAAAATCTAATTATTAAGTTGCCATATGGCATTAATTCTTTCTACCTTAAAGTAATCAGGACATTAAAATAACATTCAAAAGATATAAATCTGGATAGTGAACTGCAGCTTAAAACTCCAAGTTCCCTGTAAAGCAGTCCAAAAGAATCCAAATTGTACAATTTCAGTACTTCAGTAAATGGAAACTCTCACTTCCCATAAACAGAATATATAGTAATCAAATTTGACTACTCTATAACTCTGTATGTTAGCAAAATCTCATTATTTCAGCTGCCTTTTTAACTCAAGCAAGATTCCAAGACATTAACATGTTTAATGTAATAATAAAAAGACGTGAGAAGGGTTTTACTAAAGTAGTATTCCAGTGATCTGCTAAAATACAAAAGCAATCAAGAGAAAAATCACTGGTTAAGCAGCTACATTAACATTTCATTATTTTTAATTGAGTGAAATAGCACTACACTATGTGCAGTATTTTATGCAATTTCAATAAAAGCAAATCAACTGTAACTAATTTGAATTAAAGCATACTTCAACCTTCAAGTGTGAATTATTGTGGATAATTAAGTGTATTACTGTACCATATAGCTTGGCAAATTGAGCCTCCTCAGTGTGCTGGAGATCAATGAAGTATTAATAAAATAATTGTTTCCTCTTTAGCATCCTGATAGACATACAAATGTATGTTTTAGCACTGTGTATTTCTAACTGTCCAGGAATATTTCTGGTTCTTTGTGGCTTAATTGACAATTTTGGTCAACTGAGTGCATTGCAAAAAATTTATTTCTTCTTTTAAATGTTGATACATATTTAGCAATCGTGATAAATTTTGAACAGGACAAGTTAAAAAAAACAAACAGACAAAAAAAACCCTTAAAATATTATATCAGAAAAAATACATTTTAAATATTCATGATAGAGGGAAAATAATTTGGGTCAAACACAAAACTTAATGACTATAAAAATAAATAGAAGTCACCGGGAATCATCTGCTGGCCCTCAAATTACGTATGACTTTACTCTTTCTACCCTCTTGCTTTTACATTTTGGTCTACATTTTTTTACTCCTCTTCCCTCTTCCAAGTAGGCTGGCTGCAGGATGACAAACTGGTATGCAGTAGTGCCAAGGTGTGCCCAGACAGGTGAAATTCAGAGAAATGCTAGTTGTCATGAGCCAGAAATACACTGCAGTTAATGCTTAAAAGCATAGTTAGATGTATACCAGTGCTTGGGCTTGTGCACAGGCCCTCCCAAAGCTATACCCAAGAAATTAGCATAAATGAAATCAGAGGGAGCATTGCCACTGGATTCAACCATTGCTCCCCTTTCCTCAGTCCTTTCTCCTTGGGTCTTGCTAAATGATTGCTTCTCTATGGCTAGTGTCCATTTTTCTTTTAAGCTTTATTCACCTTTACTCTAGGGTTTCTTTACATTTTCCTAAATCTTGATTTCCTAACTATTGCTCTAAATGACCATCTTTTCTAAAGATACTAACAAAGGCACTTAAGAGTATATCTGACTTTATGGGGAATGAGGACACTATCAGGAAATCACCTTCATGATAAGTATTTCAAAGATGTCAAAAGGTAACTAACTTAGATTATAAATAGAAATAAAATACTAATAATTCATTAGCAATTTATTTTTTCTTTTTTTTCCTTTTGAGTCAAACTGATGTTGACATACATGAAGACCAGTATTTGATGCCTTTTCAAAGATTGCTACAAGAACATCTTATTGCAATTGCATATTACTCTGTGGCTAGTGATTATTTTAGATTATTTTAGATTATTTTGTACTCAGGTTTTATATTCATTATATAAATATTAAATACATATATAAATATATATTGTATTCAGAATACCTTCATAAATTCAAGGGGTTTTTTGTTTTCTTGCTATTTTTTTTCTGGTTTTTTTTGTTTTGTTTTTCTTTTCATAGGGAACATCCTAGATGGGGAGCATCCAACACAGCTTTGGCTAGGTGGCTTCCACCTGCCTATGAAGATGGGCTCAACCAACCTCGAGGATGGGATCCCAGCATCCAGTACAATGGATTCCAGCTACCCTTGGTTAGAAAATGTAACATGAGATCACTTGAAACACTTACACTTGGTTATAATCATACCTGCCATCACAGACCTCCATTTACAAAAATAGATGAAGTATCTGTGTAAAATACTTCAAAAATATCTGTGGAACTCAGCTAAGGAGCCACTGGCTTTGCTAAACCATAAGTTCAGCCACATGGTGAGAAGTCCCCTGCCCTTGGCTGGGGTAAGCCTGTGGGACAGTGCAGTGGGGCACTGACTGCCTTGAGGGACAGCTCTGTACTCCAAAATGTGCTGTGGTGGAAAGAGGTAGGGCATAAGCCAGCCACATAAGCCTTGCCTGGCCTGACCTGACCTAGTGTGCACTAGATGCTGGACAGCCAGCAGACCCAGGGTGAGGATTGCTCAGGTAGAGGAAAGGTGGTGCAAGGTGGACCTAATCATGACCCTCCCATGATGAAAAGGCTGCACGCTGCCATGGCAAGAGGCAATGGTCACAAGTTGCTTCAGAGAAAATTTTGTCATCATATGAGAAAATGAATTTGTTGTGAGACCAATTAAATGTTGGAATAGGCTTTTGTAGGAATAGGAATTAAAGTTTAGAATATGAATTCCAGCCTAGACAACCACTAGAATATCCCTAATGGAAAATCCCCAAGATCTGGCTTGATGGGTCTCTCAGTAACCTAATCCTTTCTTTGAATATAAAGTTGTACATTGTGGTTTCCAGAGTTTTCTTCCAGCCTACACTTTCCAGTGATTTGTTTCAATAATGGTGCCTTTATTCAGTGAAGGAGGAGGAAGAAAACAAGTTTGAGTGTTAACAAAATAAATATAAAGCACATAGATGTGATAGCATGCATGCAGGTGTATGCATGTATGCTGTTTCTCATAGACTAGCAAGACTTAACTGAACGAGTATTACTGTCGAATCATAACTTCATTTTTTAGCTTGCCCAAATTACTGAGCTTAGAAAGTATTGCAATATTTGTGGATTTTAGCAGCTCATATACTTAAAAATTAGCAGACCTGCTACAGAGGGAAATTTGAACAAAAATATTTGCACAGAGGAATAGGTGAAAAATTCCCCAGCGCAATGTGCAATGATTTGAGCTGGATTTACGAGTTCTGGTTTGTCATCATTTCTTTGAAACCTGGCTTTTGATGGACTCAAAGTCTTGTTATTTTAACCGCTGTATGTTTAATAAGGATAAGCAAGAGAATCTAGTGTTAATGTCATCTGCAACTCATGTTATTAATTAAATAACGTTGTCTCTAAGCTGCACAATTTAGCACTCAAAGATGAAAACCTGACATTTACACAGGTAAATTTCCAGTAGATTGTACAAACTGCCTTTTTCTAGATTCATTAGGGTCCATGTTTGTAAAGTAAAACACCCTAAAAAAAGATTATATAACTGTACCAAATCTGATCATGTCTTACCATCAGCAAGGTTCTCTGCTTTGTTTTGGAATAAGATAGGATAAAACTAATGTCATAAATTCTTTTTCTCATTTATTTAATTCTCTTTTTTTTTGGTGCTTTTATCTATCTAACTATTTCCTTTTAAAAGCAACATGAAAATAATGTGAAAGTGATAGATAAATGTGAGAATTCCTATAAAGCAATACTAGAACACAGTATAGCTGTGTAAATTAACAGTGATAGGAAAATCTTACGAACTGCAAGAAAAAGGTTTGTGCTTTGTGGCCACCAAAGCTATTAAAATACTGATCTAAACATTTGAATTCCTGATGAGCTCTATGTATCTTGCTTTTTACTATTTCAATATAAATTCTGATTTTCCTAACAAGTCCCATGTTGCCTGTTGTCTTTAACAATTCTATTTAACTGAACCTGCCTTATACATTCATTATATAGTGCTTATATTTATTACAGACTCTGTGACGCTGAGTCATATGCTGCCCTTTCAGTTGCTTGACTTCTAAGGCAGCTGCTGTGTGCCAGGGAATATTTTACAGCACGAGGGAGGAATCTGTGAATAATGACACCCTTATCTTCACAAACTGAGTGCTGATTTTGCTCTGATGGTTTTGCTTGGTTATTAGTATAGGCTGGACATGTAACATAGATATGTCCATGAGTTCCTCCTCAGAGCATCTGTATCTCTGTGCAGCTTGCACCAAAGTGCCTCAGAAATATCATTTGGCTTCTCCCTGCTTGGGAAAAGGAAGCAAAGCTTTCACCTATCGTGTGTTTGCAACCTAACTTGTCTCCTGGGCTGCGTAAGCTCTTCCATTTATGTACAGAGTAGCCCAGAGCCTCTGTGTATTGACAATGATTTGAGGTTGCCCAGAAAATCCATTTGTTAAAGGAGGAGAAAACAGAATAAATAGAAAGAAAACTTTTAGACAGTCTAAAGGAAACTTGTGGTTTTCAAAATTCTCTGAAAAGGAACAGATCAAAGATACACTGCTCACTGGCAAACATAGAAAAACTCAACTGAAACATCTTTGAATCTGCTTGTTGCACCTGGATCTCGGCCCCTGAACAGAAATAAGACTCTGTCAGAGGTTGGGTTTTTGTTGTTGTTGGGTTTTTTGTTTTGTTTTGTTTTTAGGCAAATCATTAAAAGTATATAAAGTTGGGGATGGGGGAAGAGAGCTTTAATCAGTTTCCCCTACATTTTAGTATTTTATCATTTTGTAAGAAGTAAAAACTACTTGGCACTCAAGCGAAATTAATTCTCTTCCCAGGTTCGTGAAGTGACAAGAAAGATTATTCACGCATCTAATGAGGCTGTTACTGAAGACAACCTGTATTCTGATATTACTATGGTATGGGGACAGTACATAGACCACGACATTGCATTCACACCCCAGAGCACAAGTAGAACCGCTTTCCTAAATGGGATGGAGTGCCAGATGACATGTGAAAAACAAAATCCATGTTTTCCAATAAAGGTAAGATTCTAAATTAATTTCTTGAAGAGAAATTCCAGGCTCCAAACAGGTGAGTAAAGTAAAACACATTAATGAAACACATATACTGAAATAATTATAAAGAAAATTGATAGACCATCAAGAAATATTAGAGCAGACAGCGACAGAAAAATTGAAGCCTAGTGCAACTATTAAACAGGTAGACATTTATTTTTTTTGCACAGATAATAAAGTATAGTTAATGTACTTAATACAGGCATCAAATTTTTACCTCAGATTTACATTGCAGAGAAACCTTACCAGTCCCTCCCAGTGTTATTGGTCTCATGCTTCAAGGTTTTGAGTTCCATTGGGGAAAATAGCAAAGTAATCACTTAAATTTTCAGCCAGATAAAGTGAAAGGATCTTAACTTTACTCACTGAAAGCAAAGATACCTCATGCAGCTAATGCAAACTTTTGAAGAGAGCTATCTCTTCAATGTATGTATAAAATGATCTTCAGGGAGCTGCTGAAACTTGCATACATCACATCTTTACTTTGAGCAGATGGAAAATATGGATTCAAAGCTTATTAAAGGGCTAGAAGAAACATAAATTGATATAAATATAGGATCCTGTATTCTTGATCAATTGATTTAAAAACACAGTCATTCTTTCACTCAAAAAATTGAGTAACAAAGAAAAACCGTGGTTTTGTTTCTCAAAGAGCAGCCTGTGCAACTCATGCTACAGGAGAGCTCCATTTCTATTACAGCCTTTGAACTGATGCCCCCATCTCTATGCAGGGCAACCTAAATAACTTTCCTCAGTGTTGGAGCTTGATTACTGACCAGCTTCTCTATGTACTGAAGCCAATATAGGGAATAAGTTTCATCAGAATAGAAAACCCTTTTCACCTCAACAAACTGTACTTGATAAACATCTCACAGTCTCCTTTTGCTTTAAGTGCTTCTTTCCTCTTTCAGTAAACATAAAGGAAAATATTTTGCTAACTTTAATGGGAATCAAGTTGGGTTTTGTGTTAAAAGGTGGCTCATCTTCCATTTGGAGAGAGAATTTAAAATACAGGGAAGGTTAAGTTAAATTAATGACTGCCTGCAATTTTACCGCAAGCAGGTAAATCTAGTCTTTCTTACCCTGGAGATATGGACTTTTGAGTTTGCAAGCATATCTTGAGAGCATTCAGAAAAAACACAGGCTTCTTAGAGAATCACATTCTTTCAGACATTGAGTGACTGAGGCACAGAGTAACCTGAATTAGCCACAACAGCCCTAATTACTAAGAGTATGCCATAGTTCTGACAAAAATCTCTAGTTTGCTATGTTTTAAATTTCCATCTGGGGCAAGAAATAATTTTTGTGTTGTTAAGTAATAGGCTTAGAAACATTCCCATTCCCAAAGTCTTACTAGGAGAGACTAGGGCAGACATCGAGTCCCTGTCCAGCAGTGTTTTGCATGATGTGATGAAGGATCCATCTGAACCATATGATACAATATATTGACTCCCATTTTTAAAAAGTCTGTTTGCTGTACCTATAAAATTGCAAAGGCTCATGTTTTGTGTTTATGACATATTCTTTGAAATAGCACGATTAGTATTGATTTTTAAGTGCAAAACCCCCATATTTTTTTATTACTGAAAGGAATTTTTTAGATTGAGAAGAGACTCATGTTTCCCAGAACTTCAATCGAATGCAGTCACAGGGACCATAGAAGTCTAATCACTGAACCCTGCCTAATTCAATCCTAGAAATCTCATCTGCTTAGAAAAAAAGACAACATAGGGGATCTTTAAAAAAGGACTTCAAGGCTAGCATTATTCTTGCGGTAGAGGTGTTGCTCTAAATAAGGCATAGATTTTTGATTTTTGTCCTGGAGTTGTTTCAAGGATGGTCTTATAGCAAGTTTTGTGAACAGGTACAAATCCAGCACTGAGTGTAGCCTAGACACTGCTCCTGCTCAGCAGTGTAGCCTAGCAGAGGGATGGGTCAAGGCATGCCCATGGCTACCTTTGATGTAGCCATGAGTGGCCATGGTGGGGGACATACAAAGAAATTCAGTCACAACCTTATAAGTGTTAGATAAGTTTCCCAACTTGTAGATTCGTTACATGATTACATTCCCATAAATTTTTCAGCTCCATTTTGTTATTAATGTGTTATTCACAGCATTGATGGACAGATACAAAGATGGTTGTTCTTTTGCTTTTGTTATATGTCCAGTATTTTATGACTGTTTTTTCTGAAAGCCAAGGAATGGATTTTGTATTAAAAAAAAAAAAGGGTGTTGCAGTTAATAGTGTGACCAGAGGAACTTATTTTTAACACTGCAACAAAATGCTGTTACCCTCTAGAACTAATCTTCTTCCTGAAATTTTAATTAAATTAATCTCCACCTATTAAATATTTGGAAAACTGCCACAGTTAGCTTTATATGTTCATTTTGTGTATGAAGAAACTGTGGCTGATTTCCAAAGACAGTGAAATCAATAGCATATTATACAACAATGTAAACATAGAGGCTGCAGTTTGCACTCTTGCTGTGTTCCTACAACAGCAGCACCCAAGGGAGGATCCTCGGAAAAGGACAATGCTGCCTACAGCTGCACATGCTCTCTGGGGGTTTCAGTAGGGAGAGGAGGCTCCTGACTGTGCAGGTTAGGGAATCTGTCTGGAAAATGTTCTGAGTCAGTGTGATTCAATGAAGGACTGAAAACTGCAGTAGTGCATTAATATTAATAACAAGTGTAGGTGAACGATTCATAGGCTAACAGGAACCATTGTGATTTTCTCTTCTGGACATTTTTATAATAAAGGGTATAGAATTTCTCCCTGTAGCTTCTGGTAGAGCCTGGAAATTCTTTTTCTGTATCACCACAGTATCCCATAACATGAAAAAAACAAACCAAACCAAACAAACAAACAAACCCCTAGCCGAACAAAAAAAAACCAAACCAAAACAAAAAAACCCACTAGCTTTAGTTTATACTTCTTTTACAGTAGCCTGACACATGGAACAGGGTTGTGGAGTTAACCTGACATTCCTCAGCTGATTATTTCAGGTTAGAGCTGAGATATGATGAGGCATTAGGAAGACTTTCATAGGAGAGCTACTGACTTCAGTAGTGAATTCAGTATTATTTATATTGATGCCAATAAGTTAGACACGGCAGGTACACATAGTATGATACAATCCAGAAAAGCTTTCAGTTACTTCAGATACAACAAGGTAGAAAAGAAACTGTCACAGAAAAGTGAGGTGATTTGCAAAAGGTGACATGTAACATGACAGGTTACTGTCTCAGCTACAAATAGATCAGTCAGTGTGCACTCAACAACGAGCAAAATGAGCCCTTGCCTTTTTCTTTTGTGTTTCAGAAGCGGCAGCTTGCTGTTAGAGGAGGGCATGGACTCTCCTCCAAGTTTCATGTCCACAAATAAGCATTCATGTTTTCCTCTTTTTGAAACTTTCATAGACCATAAGCTAGGTTTTCTTTTAAGTCTACAGCAAAAATCCTTTTACAAGGTAATTTCCCACAGAATAAATTAACAATAAGAAAGATTTTTCTCTAACTGAAATAACAGTTTGCATATTGCAATACACTTAAACAATTAGTGCCTTTCATTTTCCTACACATTAAAGAATTTCACCATCGCCAGGTTTGACCATGCATATATAATAAGCATTTAAATCAACATAGTAAAACTATTGTGGCCAACAAGGGTTTTGTAGAGAGCTTTTTCCATCTAGAACTATGCAAGGCAAAAAAATCCAAATCAAATTAATATTATTCATTAGTTTTGGGGGAAAAAAGGTGATTCTGTACCCATTTCAGCAGAAAAAGGTCTGGTTTTTTCACTCAGGCTATTTTTAATGTGTTTTGAATAATAACCTAAGGAACCTCTCATTTACACATTGAGCTGCTGGCTGCACTCTACTTATCCCATGAAAAGGGGAACGATGGCATTATGTGCCTCTGTCAGTCCCTTAATGTTCATTACTGCTGTTTTTCTCCACTGGGGACTAGAATGGTTTGAATTGAAATCGCAGAGGCAGTTAACTAAAGATTATTCAGTATGAACTTCATTCATTGTTGGTAGGTTTTGGTGTGAGCTTTGTTGTTTAACAATGTAAAGGCATCTCCTACATTCCTTTCCCAGTAATACCTGAATTCTTCCAGGTTTTCCTGATAACTAGAAGCAGGAGATACACAAACACATACAATGCTGCGGCTGTCAAGTTCAAGTATTTCTAGTATGAGATGAGCTGCCCACTTACATTATCAGCTGAAGGGAAAAAGAAGCCACACTAATAGCAAGAGACTTAATAACAGATATACATGCTAAATAGAAAACACAAGGCAGAGAAATTATTAATTTCAGAAATCAGTGAAAGAAGAAAAAAGAAAAAGAAATTATTTCCTTCAAACATAACATTCTTTGATTTGCTAAAATCTAGGCAATGAAGAAATAATAGTAGAATTTCTTTACCAAAAAAGTTGTAAAACAAAATAGGCACTTTCTTAATGTAAATGCTTTGTTGATAACAGTCATTAAATTGGGGTTAACAGTAACAATTCAATTTTGGAATGAAATTAATTAGCTTCATATAATAACATTGTTACCTCATTTATTATACCAGGCAAAATTTTCATAATGCTGAGAACTCATGTCAGTAGGGATTGATATCAACAAAGCATTTACATTAAGAAAGTGCCTTATCTTCACAGACTGATCTCTATATTATTAGAAGAATGAAGAAGAAAATACATCACTTTATATAACATATACACTTTTCACTGTCTCATTCCAAAGAGTTCTGAAAAATGAAAAGCAAGCGGATAGAATACAAATAAGATGGGTTAGCTCAGGTGTCTGTACAAAACATTTATTTTCTCTTGCTCAAATTTTTTAATATTTTTTTTTCTGGGATATTTGAGCAGCTTTTGTTAGTGTTATTTGTATCTACTTCATGCTGATTAAATGATAAGAAAACACTAGATTCATATTCCCTGAAACTCATACTCCATGATTATTATAAATTTTTTAATTGACATTAATCACTTTTAAACTCTTGGAATGGACAGGCTGTTATTGGTCATTGTTGGTGCGCGATGTAGTACTGTCAGAATTTGGAAATAATGTACTTTTCAGAAAAAGAGAGTTTGTAAAGCCAAATCTGCATTAGACAACACAGATTTTAGTAATTTTGCAATATGGTAGCTTTTGTTTTAGTCTTGAACTTTGTCCTTTGAAATAAACTTGATGGCCTGAGTTTTCCTCTTGGATATCCCACAATGTGAATGAAATCTTTCTCCTTCTTCCTTTCTATCCTTCTCCAGCATTGCCGCTACCCTCCCCACAGCAGTTGTTATTCATATGCTGTATTCAGTGTTCCTCTGTGACAAAACTGGTTTAGGCTGTATTATCCTAATATTCTTATTTATGCCTCAAGATCTCATTTGGTAATTCCCACATGTTTCTCTCAGGCCCTTTGCCTATATTTGGAATAGCTGACCAAATGACAAGCTGGTTCAGGCTATATCTGTGCTGACTACCACACAAAAGCTGGATCATAATTTGACCTTGGTGTCTCAACTGTGTGGGGATCAAACCAATAAAGGACTGGGCAGTCTTTCATTTAGCAAAGCCTACATGCAGCTTTTGCTTTTTATAAACATAGTCAGAATTTAATACTTGTAAGACAGCTGTCACTGTAAAATAAAATGGGAAAAGAATTTTGGTGTGACTGGCAGAAAGCAGGTGAATACTCACATCTTCCTTTTTTAGTTAGGAAACTGGATTACAATTCAGTATTGAACCAAAGCTTTTACAGTGTGCTGCTGCAGACATTGAAACTCGTCATTATGTTTTTATGCATACATGTAAACCCGTTGTTTCACTTGTGGTTCAGAAGAACAGAATTTGACCAGATGTTCATGTCTTCACTCTGATACATTTTATGATGAATTTTGATTGTGAAGCCAGATTGATTTAGGTGTAGATGTATTACATCAGTAGCTTATGAGAGAGTAAAAGTTTTGGGTTTTATCTCTGGCTTTGCTTAAGGTTCATCTCTTTGCTTAAATCTGAAGGAAAACAATCTCTATAGATTTAGAATATGTAGATGAGATCTGAACAATGGAAAACTGAGAGAGAGAGAATGCAAATACTTAGAAAAGCCTTAAATTCAGCATCCACAGCTGTTCTCCTCACCTCAGAAAATGCCCTTATTTTTTATGCAGGTCACCACCAATGATACATTATCCACAGGGATGGATTGCCTGCCCTTCTACCGCTCATCTCCTGCGTGCGGCACTGGTGATAATGATATTCTTTTTGGAAATATATCAGTGCTAAATCCAAGACAACAGATCAATGGCTTAACTTCTTTCCTTGATGCTTCTACAGTCTATGGCAGTACCCCTGCTGTTGAAAACAAACTGAGGAATTTAACAAGCGAAGAAGGCCTTCTTAGAGTAAACCTTATATATTATGATAACCATCGGGAATACCTGCCTTTTACAGACCAGATCCCATCACCTTGTGCACAGGACTCAAATGCAAGTGAAGGGGAGAGGATTGAATGCTTTTTGGCAGGAGACAGTCGATCCAGTGAGGTCACGTCTCTGGCCGCTATGCACACACTGTGGCTGAGGGAACATAACCGCCTGGCCCGAACCCTCAAACGTATCAACAGCCACTGGAGCGCAGAGGCAGTCTACCAAGAAGCACGAAAAATTGTTGGTGCTCTGCATCAGGTTGGTTGGTTGTTTGCTTATCTACACATTGCAGTGAACATCTTAGGACAGAACTGATCATAAATCTCCAAATATGTTTCTGTGAGTGGCTTTTGAGAACTGGTTACCTTTCCCTTCCCACTTATTTCTGGGCTTCAAATTTGACAGGTTTAAAGTTTGTTTTGTTTTCCACTTTCCTGAGCACAATGTCCTGCTGCTTAGTTTGTCCAGACACCTCAATGCTCTGATTTTCATGGCATTTTCTACTAAGCTCCATATTTGTGTGGGCTTCTCCAATGTCTATTTTGTCTATTGAAGAAGCCTTTTCAGATGCATTTTTTTTGTAAAGGAAACTATTTAAAAGTAATGTCTCTATATTTACATAGAGTTCAAAATGCTTACTTTCTCACAGGTATTATATAAATAATAACTTCCCTGTGTAAAAATGCCTGTGAAGTTCTCAATGAAGTATTAATGCACAAATTTCAAGGGCTACTGTTGACAGGAGATAGCAGGGGAAATAAATGTGGGAAAATACAGAAGAAAAGTCCATAAAAATGTTTATATTAGACATGTTTTCTGATTCTTACAAATATATATATAAAATTCTCTCTTCTAGCCTTTTGTTTCATTTTCCTTTTCAAACCATTGTGGCAAGGAAAGCCTGCTGAGCCTTATGAAAACTGATATGAATTCCTGTATCTTTTGCACCTAATTTGTAGCAACTTTTAGCACGAACAAAAAGTTCTTAAAAATAATCCGAAATCATGTAACCTATTTCCAAATATTTAATGTGTGGCTGACATCTGCTGGAGGTGGCTCAGCCTGGACGCAAATGCAGCCAGGATACTCACTGAGTTCATAAGGACATTTGGGAATCCCTTTTGTAATTCTGCCTTCTGAATGAGAAGAGTGTTGCCTTTAACACTAAAAGCCTGTTTGACTTGCAGTATTATCGTGTTTACAGGTCAGGATTCAGTTACTTTTGCTATAAACAGTGCACATGGGATTCATGGTATGATATAAAATCTATACCAGGCCTTTTCTGACACTCTTGTAAGACACTCAGATGCTGTTTCTGTCTGGATACTTATCCAATGATACTGCTGAATTGCTAAGAAATTAGCATTTTATTTTCTCTGATATGACTAAATGAATAACATTTAAAAGCTCTTAATCTCTCTGTTACTATCTGATCACATAGATTACAAAAGTCATGCACTCACTGAGCATATGGATCTCTGTTTAAAACACAGTGCCTATTTGTCATAATTTTTCACTGAATTTTGCTGTTGAAACAATTACCATTGTGAGACAATAGAAATATTCACATTATTGACTAAAATTGTTTTCTTCGTGGCTTCTGTAGAGCTTGGAGTTGATGCTATGAGGTGATGAATGTGTCCTAGGAGGAGCTTAGATTACCACTAATATCACAAATGTCACAAGAAGTTAAGATCACCCATTACCTTGCAGGTTCAGACTCATTATATGCACACACATTCCTTACGCTGCTAATACCTGAAAGTTAACTTATTATTCATAAATACACTCATAATAAGTCATAAAAGATGGAGAAGTTCATTATACTAATTTGCAATTTCTTTTCCATATAGTCTCTTTCTGTCTCTGATTTTATGGACATATTTTGAGACAAGTACATCCTTTGTTTTCACAGGAGATTCTCATTTGTTCAAGGAACTCTCTACTGTGAGAAAGTACTATGCTTATTTATGCCAAATATGAAGGAAATAAACCTTTTATATCATTCTCTGAGAGCAAGGATTGCATGCAAAAGAAATGTAACAAAAATAATTTTGATGTTTGTCAGATGCTTATACCTTCTTTAAAACTTATATGTGTGTCAGTTATGAGAACTTGTAGTGAGCCTCTCCTTGACATCACACAGACAAATTTGGGCAAGGTACATTCAGAGACTACACAAATACTCGATGCTATTTTAGGTGTGGTTCTTTGGCAGACTCCAGTAGCAGTATCATATTCTGCTGTATTAGTAACAATTTACCCTGCAACTATCTTTGATGGAGCCTCATTTAGGCATTGGGAATTTCCATCAAAGAGATGCCTGTCCTAGCTCAGGATAGGCATAAGACCCCTTTTTACCCTTAGCCTTTTAATTTTCATATCCTGAAATGGCAACTCCACTTTCCCTATGAAGGAAACTAGAAATTAAGATGTTGCCTCTGGAGCAAATGAAAAATCTGAGTTGCCCTTTCCTTCAAGGAGTCTGGCCTTTATGACCAGCTTAACTCTGGGATTTACAATGAGCCAAAAAATTAGTCATACCAGGATGTTTGTATCCATGACTAACCTAGTCCTATTGAAAGTCTTTGGTTGTAAAAACTATGCATCTAAAATTAGAACTGCTGTCTTGCAAAACCTTTGCAAACGTAGCAAAAGATTCAGTTCTCAAATGACAGTCAATTTCTTGCAATAATTTTATTTGTTTCATATGCTGCATTAAAAGGGCTGTAAAAGCGATTCTAACATACTGTCTTTTAAATATTTTGTTCACTGTACGATCTAACCTGAAAACATAATCCTCTACCTTCTGAGAAAAGTGAGTAAATTCTGGAAAGGTGGGCTTGTTTCTTCACTGTGCTTAAAATAAAGATACAAGTTTTTTATAAGGTCATTTTATGCCAGCCAGCTTTTCAATATGCACTAGATCAAGTTCAAAGTACCTTTGTCTGTATATTTATTGCACATTATATTGAATACATAAGGTATTTTATTGAGTTCATTATGTTTCATATTTATCTCATTTTGCTTTATTGAGTTTAGCATAGTCTTTAACCTATAATGCACTTTCATTTTATTTGGTACATTAGAACATTTTCCCGTCTTTCCTTTTGTCATGATTACTCATATGCTTTTCCATGCCACTGTAATACTATTACATTATAAAAGCATTTGAGAGAAGGTGTTTATCATTGTTTTCATTTTTAAAGTGAGTTTTTTAGAAGTATATAAATTGGCTTGAGTTTAGTATAAAATTTCTACAAGGGGATTCTAGGCACCAGTATCTTAAAGCCTGGTCATTCCAAATAATAAGTAAAGAGGATTTCTGTCACAAATACGTGGCTGAAAATACAATCCGTTCACATTAGCAAACATTCTTGAAAGATTTGATAGTCCTTCATGCTTTCATTGCGACTTTTAAGGGCATTATAATTTACACCATCACAATCAAGGTTTTTAGTCTCAACACACCTCCTGTGAGCTGGATTACCCCCGTAGATTGTAAATGAGCAACACTGACAATCTCTGCTCAGGAGGCTGTGGTATAGCGTTTATGGTAGGAGCTACCAGGGACCTGACTATTGCACTGTTCTGAGCTGTGCCACAGATTCTCTCTGGGTGTTTGTCTCCTTACTGCAAAAATAAGACTGATATTGTTTACCAGATAATACTGCTCTTAGTCACGACAAATGTTTGGGAATAGTTGAGTAAAGAAAAAGGTATTTAGCACCTGGGATTCATTACTATTCATCCATAGAAATGTTGAAAGATGTTTCTTTTTCTTTTCTTTCAGATTATTACTTTAAGAGATTACATTCCCAAAATCATTGGTCCAGATGCTTTTAATATGTATATCGGCCTTTATACAGGTTATGATCCCACAGTGAATCCTACGGTTTCTAACGTATTTTCAACAGCTGCTTTTCGTTTTGGTCATGCAACAATCCAACCAATAGTAAGGCGATTGAATGCACAGTATTTAGATGATCCCGAACTCCCAAATCTTCATTTGCATGAAGTTTTCTTTAGTCCTTGGAGGCTCATTAAAGAAGGTATGGTTTTATTTAAACTGTTTCTGGGCTTTGGGGTTTTTTTCTCCCCAGAATATTGTAACTTTTTTTCAAAGTTACATATCTTGAATTAGGAATAAGAACATTTATTTAATTAGATCATTTATTTAAGTTGTTGAATGGATTCCAGAGTAGTAACTCAAACTCGAATGGTTATTCTGAATTACATAGTTGACTGAATCAGAAAAATGTTACTCTCTAGATTAAACCAATCTAGTAGATTGACAATAGAAGGATGATTGATGATTAAGATGTTTCATATCTTTTTTTGTGGATAAATTTATTAACAGGTTGAAAATTCCTTTCTGAAGAAAAAGATGGAGGTTTTTCATAGCACTATTACTTTTATTTTAAACTAAAGGAGATTTTTGCATATGTTTGAATCTAAAAGCCTGCCTGGACAATGTTTTAAAAACATAGAAACATATATGCATTCACATTTTTTAAAAAAAGTTAAAGTGGTTTATATATATATGCTGTAACACTATTATTTTTGTGTTTAAAGGAGGTTTGGATCCTTTACTAAGAGGTCTTCTAGCACATTCAGCAAAACTGCAAGTGCAAGATCAACTGCTGAATGAGGAGTTAACAGAAAAACTCTTTGTATTGTCCAATAATGGTTCGCTTGATTTAGCATCATTAAATTTACAGCGTGGTCGTGATCATGGACTCCCAGGTCTGCTGACTTTTCTTGAATTTTCTTCCAACTGATAACTGCAGTATAACTGTTTATATTTGAAATGCAATCATAAGATTTTAAATAATAGTTTTGCTAATCAGAAAAGTAATTTAAGTATTTTTAAAATGTAATTTGCTAATATTTTTAACTTTGATGGACATAAAATATTCCACAGCTTTTGGAATTAAAACAATCTGGTAAATCTGGAATCTAGAACAGCCCTGGTGAGTGGATTGGGGTTTGCCCAGTGTAGGCACCTGAAGTTTGTTCTTGTTGGATCCAGCTCCAGAGCAGTGGGGTTTCTGTCTGCAACTACTTCCCATTAGCAGGCTGTCCTCAGCCTGTGGGATAGGTCAGCTTAGGCAAAACCTCATTGACTCTACCAACTGTAGAAGGTGTTGACAGATATCTCCAGAAGTGGTGTAGATGGCTTAGTTAGGTACACACTTCATTTTAAGAAATATTACACATTTGTGCCTGTTTCTTTGCACTAAATTTTTTATTCCAGTCAGACCAGGGTAAGATTGAACTAACAGTGAAGGAGCAATAACCCATCAGGCCATGGATATACCTGCTTAGAAGAAGACTGCTGGAGCTTAGTTTAGTTTGATTGCATCAGCTGTTAAAAAAATACAGTAGGTTCACTGTTCAGTGTAAGAAACTTTTACAAGTATGCTACAGCTTCTGAGAGCAGAGGAGATGGCTACCAATATGAAGCTCAAAGGCAGCTTTGGCTGCAGTGACCCTGAAATGGTGGAATTCAATATCTTTAGGACTGTGAGGAGGGAGCACAGCAAGATTGCTACCCTGGCCTTCAGGAAAGCAGACTTTTGCCTCTTGAGGGATCAGCTTGGTAGAGTACCATGGGATAAAGCCTTGGAGGGAAGAGGGGCCCAAGAAAGCTGGTTAATATGCAAGATCCGAGCTTGGGAGCAATGCACCCCCACAAAGAGGAAGCCAGGCAAAAATGCCAGGAGGCCTGCATAGATGAACAAGTAGCTCCTGGAACTAGGAGGTTCCTTCCAACCCCAACCACTCTATGATTTTCTGAATGTAAAAGAAATCTTTTTTCCAGAAAGCTGGACATGAGCCCACAGAGATTCTCTTTAGTAAAATACTTTAGTTACTAAATTCAGGTTGCTTCTTGACCACTCTTCATCTGCCTCCTGCATTCCTAGTCTAGAAATCTCAAGACACAGTGTATGCTGCTATTATCTATTATCATGTTTTCATATTATCATCTATTATCATTGCTTAAATATGAGAGAATTATTTTAAACTTTAGTTTTCCTTCATTAAAATGATGTAACAATTGCATATCCTGTAGTTTCAGATCCTGCCATAATTTCCCTGATCAATTTAACTAATAATAATAGGCCTCTTTTTATACATAACTGTTTATGACTATGATTAAGGTTATGAAAATCCATTGCTTATAAATTTATTAATTTTATATATCATGCTTAGCAATCACTAATCTTCCTTTTAACATCATATTTTACAGGTTATAATGAATGGCGAGAATTCTGTGGTTTACCAAAACTGGAAACTCACACTGAGCTGAATACAGTAATAATGAATCACAATGTCACTGAAAAAATCATGGAATTGTACCATAATCCTAGCAATATTGATGTTTGGCTTGGCGGTCTGGTAGAAGACTTTATTCCAGGTGCTAGAACCGGTCCTCTGTTTGCATGTATAATTGGAAAGCAGATGAAAGCTCTAAGGGATGGTGACCGGTGAGTTTATTCATGCAGTAAAATCATGTGTAAAAAACCCAGTAGCAATGGAGATTTTACAGCAACTTAAAAATGCTTTAAACAAATCATGCTTCTTCCACATTTTTGTCTTAGCTCCTATTGATTATTCTTCATAGTCCCAATTCCGGATGACACGGAGTTTGTTTCTATGGTATTGAGGTGTCCAGCTTTGCACTCCTGCTGAAAATGCAAGGTGCCACCAGATGTTAATTGTGGCAGGGACCACTAACTTCTGTGAGGACAGATGTAGTGCTATGCAGGTTTTATTCCCCCCTGCATTGTGCTCAGGAAATGGAAGAACCTCAACATTTTTCTTTGACAACTGCAGCAAAGTCAGAATGGATGTGAAAAACCTATAATTCAGGCTTTGTAGGGGGATAATAGAAACACCACATGTCTGGCCTTATGTGAATTGGGACTACAGAATGCTCACAGAATTGCCTCATTGGGCACAGCATAGGATGTCACTTCAACCAACCCTGCACAACAGCCATCAGGATCTTGTGCTGGGACAACCCTTCACACCTGGAAGGCAGGAGAAATCAGTGTCAGGTCGCAACAGGCTGCAAGAAGCAGTTATATCTTGCTTCTGCTCCTGAAGCAATTATAAAATCACCATTTTTTCATTTCTGTCTTGTACTTGTGGCAATAATGTTGTATCTCATGAGAAGACTAATTTAAACAGCTCACACCATGCTAGCAGTGGTGTTTTAAGTATCTCCGGTCCCTACGCTCAACTTTAAACTCCTCTTATAAGTCACTGTTATGGAAAGAAACCATTATGGAAATAACCACCCAAGGTAGAATTTAAATCTGAACTTTAAAAAATGTCAATTAATTAGCTCACAGGAAACGGCAATGTTAATCATAAAGGTGGTATCTTATTAGCATAAACTGTATAAAAAAAAATAATAATGGCCAGTCTTCGTGAACGAAGATTTTGGGGAAAGGTCTTTTTACCTTTCCAGCCTGCGCAATGGATTTTTTAGGTGAGACACAACCTGCGCTGAACTGAGCCCACCCTTTAATCCTAAGGTTCATCTGCCGGGGCCAAGCAAGCTTGGACAATGGCAGTGAAGTCCTCAGGACGTAGGTTTGTTTAGAGTGACCTTCTCATAGATGGATGGCCTCACAGGGCTAACGGGCTCCATCTGCCCGGGGGACTGGCTGGGATTCGAACCTGGGTCGCAGAGGTGAGAGTCCTGCATGCTAACCACTAGGCCACCAGGGGTCCCCTGCATAAACTGTATAGACAACAAACATTCCACTGAGCTGAGTTAAAAACATGGTTGAAAGTCCTCTGAATAGTACAGGCATACTTGACCCTATCTGGAGAAGGAGTATCTATGGAGGTCCTTCCAGTCTTGTTTCCATTATTCAGTGCCTTACAATGTTACTTATTATTCAGTGCCTTATAATACTACTGTCATTAATTAAACATAAACATAATTGAATATGTTAACTCCCAGTTGAGTAAAAGAGAATTCTAGTAATGAAAGAATTCCACAAGTTTCTGCCACAAAGTTTGTGTCAGGTAACTTAAATTTGAACTAGTATTCTGTCATTAATACCAAAGGAACCACCTAAGAGAAGTTAGAAGTATGTAACAACATGTTATAGTTATTGCACAGTAAGAATAAGAACGGAAAGGTCTGCAACTCATTGCAATAGCTGGACAGATAGAGTATTGGGTGTTATATGTATCTCCACCAGTGACGCTACATACCTTAAATGACAGGTCAGTAAGTAGAGATTTAAAAATATCTCTTCTAACACACTCTTTAAGATCAGAAATCAAGGCAAAGTGGAGTTTTTGTCTGATTGAACTCCATTCTGATAGCCCTAAAATCTTTTGTCAGTAATCTGACAAAGTATAAAAGGATTTCTTTTTCCTATGTACTAAACCCAAGCACTGTCTTAAACTCAGCCGCATCTCCTGAAACAAGTTGTTTTCAATCCATCAGCCTTCTTTTTCCATATCTTCCTTCTATGAATCTTTTTGTGATCTGAGGATTTGAAATACTTGGGCAAAAAATTCTTAAGTTTTGTCATTCTTTGCATAGCAGTTTGGCCACCTGATACAGATTGAATGGAGCAGCCTTTGTTACAGTAAACACCTATCTGCTGAGTAGATTAAAAATCATTTTCTGCTCAAACTTTCCCAGCAGTGTACATGAAACTGAATTTTATGATGAAAGTAGAATTGATTATAATATACATGAAAGGGGAAATGACAGGTGTAGGAGAGCTGAGTGGAGAAAAGTGTTTGACAGCTTCCCAGGGTCTGGGAAAGGTCAGTGAAGTTTCAGCATGCTCTGAGAAGTTTGGCAACAGTGCGATGGTGAGGTGTAAGAGGAAGGCTTCTTTATTTTTTTCTCCCTCCATCTCTTCCATCTCTCCTGCATTTCTTGTCACAGTGCTGCTGAGTTGTGGGACGCTAGCTCCACTACGGGTCCTGTAAATTGCCTCCTCCTTCAATATAGGCAATATTACCACAAATCCTGCCTAGGATTTGGGAAAATCCTAATTGACCTGACTACCAGACAGAACTATCTTGGAAGTTTAGCAGTGCTTAACACTGTCTAATACAGATGTTCTGTCAAACTCTGCAGAAGTATTAATGCAATGTCTTTATGTCTTTTTTCCCCTTAGTGTTTTCTTTCCTTTTACCTTTAAATATATACATTTGTGTGTATGCATACATATATCTTTTATATAATGCATACCATTTAATAGATACATCTTTTAAGCACCAGCTGCTTATTCTGTTTGACACTAAACTCCTGATCTTACAGAAAAAAGCACCTTCTGTCTGTTCCAGACAGTCCTCTTAGCTTACCTTTTGTAAGATCAAAAGCATAATTACTGTCTTATGTTTTTCTACCATAATGAATCTGCATATCTACAGGTTTCTTAGAAAATTAAGTACTCCATATTAACCAGATGAGCATTCAGCAATACCTGTTTTCATAGCAACCATTCAGTACTACAAGCAAAATTCAAACACTATGGTATTGGAATATCTATTATAGCTACTCCTGCAATTCTCATTTAATTTATGCTCAAAACAATTTATGAGTGAACAGCAAGTACTGGTGTGTGTAGGAGTAAGCATCCAGTTCAACCAAATTTTTTTCAAGTTTTCCTCTCAGGATCATAACATTTTTAGTGGCCTCATTTCACCAATGAAGAGTAATTCTGCAAATATGAATAATTAGTAGTTTTAACCATCTGTCTTTAACACACTATGTGAGTTGACCAGTACATCAGACTCACACCAGCCTTTTCAGGACTGGTTCTGTATGGTCATGGTGTTTACTTTTATTAGTGTTATATCTACCTACTTTTTGCTGTAATTCTTATTTTTTGGCTTTTACATAAGTATTATGAAAGTAAGAATAACCAGCTCTTTCAATTTGATCTTTTCAAAAAAGTTTCTATCAATCTTTCCAGATTTTGGTGGGAAAATGATAATGTTTTCACAGAAGCTCAAAAGCATGAACTCAAAAAACACTCATTGTCCCGCGTGATTTGTGACAACACAGGAATTACTGAAGTGCCAGCAGATGCCTTTCAACTTGGAAAGTTTCCACAGGATTTTAAGCATTGTAACAATATACCTGGAATGAATTTAGAAGCTTGGCAAGAATTTTATCGGGAAGGTAACCTAATAATTACCATTTTTTTCTGATGGGAGGGGAGATGCAGCACTCCACATGAGGTCTCACCATGGCAGAGTAGAGGAGGAGAATTCCCTCCCACCCGCTGTTGGTCACACCTCCTTTGATGCAGTCCAGGATATGGCTTTCTGGTCTGAAAGTGCACATTGCCAATCTTTCTTTCCTTTCTCAAATTCCTCTGTAAAAAAGTATACATTTTGCCAACTTCATTCTGACAACTTAAATGGCTGGTGATATAACCAGACATTTTGACAGTTAGGGCAGAAGTTCTTAGAAAATATTAACTAAAAACTCTGCAGAATGTTATTTTTACAAGGGTTATAAGTCAAACATGTGATATTCTTTTCCAGAAACGAAAAATAAAGTCTTGATCACCTTAAAATGCATGAGAAATTTCACTGAAGTTAATTTATAACAGTAATGGAGAATAATGTCCATTTGCAAGGGTAAGGTGGTAATTTTTTAAAAGCCTGTAACACACGGGTTTTTTATTTGTAGAGGAACTATGTGGAACACCAAAGAGTGTGGAAAATGGTGATTTTGTATACTGTTCAGAATTTGGAAAAACTACAGTGACTTATACGTGTCACTATGGATTTCAATTACAAGGAGAAGAGCAATTAACCTGCACAAGTAAAGGATGGAACTTTGAGGCTCCCATTTGTATAGGTATCCTTTATTATTATTATTATTATTATTATTATTATTATTATTTCTAAATCTTGTAAAATCTAAAGTCTAGCAGAGCTCATCAGAAGTGAACTCACTCCCATGCTTTTTTGTAGTCAACCTTCTGGGGTTATAGGTACAATAATATGATTATGTGAAACTCTCCTTGCTCCACAGTGCACTCCATATCTCAATCTCTACCCATCCTAATTCAGCAATCAAAATGATGGTAGGAAGATGACACTAAAAATCACCTAATTAAGCAAAAATAGAATCTATTAACACCCAGTAGAGAAAAAAAACCAAACAGTAAATCAGAATTATACATTGCTTCCTCCTACATTCAGCATAAACAGCAGACAGACAGTTGTCATTTTCCTGGCATTATTTCAATGGATGCTCTAGATAGAAATTGAGCTCTACACCACTAGGTCATGTGTCATGTTAATAATTTAAGTAAAAGTGAAAAAAAAAATACTGTGAAGTGAATAAGTGAAATTAAGTGAATTAATAATTACTTTAGGTCCTCTCCCAAATAGCTGTGAAAAGACTCACCAGAATTTTATTTACTTCTGCAGGTACAAAAGCAGAGCAGGTGAAAAATCAGTAAAAAGACAATTTATTTCAACATTTCATGGACATTTTCATGGGAATACTTTTCTGTTATTTTAATCATTCTTTTACTTCCTGTTTCCTTTTTGTCTCATTTTTATTGTTCAATAGAATAGGTTAGAAGGAAAGAAAATGTGGCAAATATTTAAAGACTTCCACTCTTCACACTATGAAGAGTGAATTCTCTCTACATTTCAAATGCGTGTGCTTATAATGGAGAGTGTGTGTGTGTGTCTATATACTCTCAAATACATGTATACATATACATATATATATACACTCATACTCAAACTGCTCTACTTTATAAGAACATGAGAGAAAACTAAACCTGAAAAGCCATATTTAGGAATATATTCTGGATAGCGGTTAATTAATTTGAATGCAAGCGCTGCAGCTGATCTGCAATAAAGTCTGCTTATCAGTATTTCTGTGATAGCAGAATAGAAAGCTATTCATTCTAATTGTATACCTGGTATGGAAAAAGTCAAATGAAATTTGCAGCTCTTTCCTTTACTCAAATCCTATTTATCCACTGAATTCCACCCACGTAAATACCATATAAAGAAATAAAGCTGTTAAATGAATTATAATAAAACCTTTTCAATAGATTAGTGTTCTGGCAGTGAACTGAATAAATAAGTTAAATGAGTGAATCATTCCTTGTCCTAGTTTCTTTTAATATGTTCAGTAATATAAACAAAAGACTGTATATCTGCTGTAGGAAAACAAGTTGCTGCATATATTAAATAAGTGATGCTGTTATTAAAGGAAAACCATCAAAACCCACTTATGCAGATGCTACTTGAGTTTTACAGTAGAAAGCACTTTGTTCCACTCATGTCTGTGCAATGTGTTCCCATTCTTTTAATGTTCGGCAAATTAGGAGTAAATCAAGCAACATAATGAGGAGGATAGAGCTTAGCATTTCTGCAGATGGTTTCAAAATTATATGCTGCTCTGGAAAAGACAGAGTGGCTTACTGACAAAAACATAGGATTCTGAGAGCTGTTAATTCCTGCTTACTAACTTCGACTTTGACAGAAATCATTTCTATTGATTCAGGAAGCGGTTTGGTGCTAAAATATGCTACCTTCCTTTGTATTAAGTGCTATCATACTCCTGATAGATAACTTTGTTTACTTTACTTTAGTAAGCTACTACTCTTTGAGTAGTACAGTAGGCCGGTAAGGTCTGACATACACTATTTAGCGATGAAGAAAAGAGTTAGCTAGCTAACAGATAGCTTGACTATGGATCTACAGAAGCTGAAAGAGCACGTTTGAATTATAGTGCAGGCAAAGGCTGTACAGGTTCTCTTTCCCAGACGATGATGAAGCCAGTGGTCATTAACCCAAAATGTAATTTTGAAGGGAATAATACCTATTCAGATATCTTCATCCTAAACAACAAATTCTTTTCTTGCTTCAAATTGGTGTTATAAAAGCTATTGTTTCTCAAGGGTTCTGAAGTTTAAGATTATTCCTTGTATGATTAGTCTTTTGACTGTCTCAGTTGATAGCTAGCATTGGACACAGTTACTGTTTTGTATTAAAATTTGAGAGAATCAGGCTTGATCCTATTTACAGTGATAGAATTCCCTTAGCTACAATGCTGAAGTCAGTAAATTGTTCCTACAGGGTCAGTTTCTAATACCGATCGAAAACAACTACTTAGCTTGAAGTAGCAGATCAAACATTGTGGTAGAAAAGGAAAGGAATACAACCAAAAAGAAAAGGCACTGAAGACTTAGCTAGGTGCCCACGTACGGGCTTGCAGTGCTTCCCAGGACCATTGGTCAGAGACATTAAGCAAGCTGTCAAATAAACAGGACCAATGGGAAACTAACTAAAACAATACTGGACATCTATTTTTAGTCAACTGAATTCAGTCATGCAAGTAAATATTACATAGAAAAAAGAAAGATGCAGAAATAAGGAAAAGAAACCCTTCTATCCCTCTCTGAATACTTTCTTCCTACACTGCATACTATCTCCCATTTCATCATATAACCAGAATATGAGAGAAAAAGGTCTTGAATGGCATCAAGAACAATATGTTTATGCACATTTTCCAATGGATAATTGTTCATCTGCTCATCATTTTGCCAGGATATTGTAATTTTACAGAATTCATATAACATCTAGAAAAAACATATTTGCATTGATATCAGAAATTACTGTTATAAATTTTGTCACCAAAGGTAACCTGAAATCTTGGCTCCTTAAAATCATTCCTACAAGTGTATAGAACTTTGCCAGCATTATTATTTTCACTGTCTCTACAGAGAACAGGATGAAAAAGTTTATGGAGGAACCTAAAGTCTTAGGACACAAACACATGCAAGAAGAGCTCTCAGGTTTAAGGTCTGCAGTTTTGAAAATTCAGCCAATTGCCATTTTTAGCTTTTGGTGGATTACCAAAATGACATTTTATTTTTTCATCATTTCCAGCTTAAAACCAACCAAACAAAAGAACAAAACAAACCAACCAAAAATACCCTACTTAATGCTTTAAACAGTATCAATAAGGATCTTTGTCAGTATTCATGTCTCATTGGAAGTGTACAATACCTTTTATTTATGAATCCTTGTGAAAGGTGTTGGTGAGAAGTTAGTAATCCCTCTGTAATTTGTAATTATTATTGATCAGTGTGTATTCATTTTGCAGACATCAATGAATGTGAAAATAAAATTAATCCACCATGTCCTCCTTCTTCTACATGCATTAACACTGAAGGCAGCTACAAATGTCTCCATACTGATCCTTACAAGCGGGCAGAAGATGGAAGAACATGCATTGGTAATGCTTGTGAACATACTGTCCATTAGAACTTTCTCTGTTTTTTTTTATAATGCTGTAAAAAATCATAAAACTGAGATTTATCGAAGAGTTGTTAACATATGTGAAAAACCTCTACAGAACTATGGGCTTAAAGGCACAGTCATATTCTGTAAATAAAGGTATTGGATAAATAATACAGACAGAGAAATAAGCTTTTCATTATTCATTCCTACTGTATAAAATCCACTAAGTATTTCCTTATGGTGATATCTTAACCCTTTCAGAGCTAGAAGAAATTATGCATTTTCTTGGGTTTTTTCAGCTTTCCAGCATGTTAATTTGAGCCACTCAGAGTTTCATCTGAATCAGAAAATAGAAAAAAAAAACACCTATTTTTCAGATGTTTCTTCTCTTTATTATCTACAATTTATTCCTTTTTCCATTCAGCCATGGTTACATTAATTTACACCTTTAAATCCAGAGACCAAAACCTGCTTTCAGATTAATTTAAGAGGTTAGTACACTGGTGTTGAGCGCAACAAGGATTTTATGAGGTCACTACACTGGCATGAATATGAGGCAGCTCCAAATATAAGGTAAATTTTATATTTTAAGGGAGCAAGCAGAAAGTGCTTAGTCAGTGCTGCTGTGACAAGTGATCATTATCCCAGACAAGTCAAATATGTTTTTCAGAGCTTCATTTGCTTTCTGACAGGTCAAAAAAAATGGGTGCAGGTACAGCCACCAAGGCCATTGCTGTATGTCTACCATGTAAGGTTAGCACCTTCCTTTAGACCTCAGTTACTGGAGCAGTTTGTCATGTCCATGGACCTATCCTTCCATGCTATGCTAAGGCTTGAATTGTTGAATCTCTAGAGTTTCTGCGATGTAACACACATTGCTTCCTCTTACATTTTAAAGCTATGGAAGAAAATGTCCATTGACAAATGACTGGCAAAAGCTGGCAAATGATTACCTGGGGCTTGCTTGCATTCTTTTATAGAAACAATGAGACTTGCTTTACAGAATCTCTGCCATAACTACATTTTAAACTGATTGGTCAATTTGAAATCGTGCCATTAAGTCACCTGATAATTCTTTAAGCCACTGTAGAGTATCAGATATTGCATATTGGCTATAACTTCTACTGTCAAACTAACACAAATATTGAAAAACTTTAAAAAGATATCACTCCCCTTCTTAGATTCAAGCATGAAGTTGTAACTGTTCTTTACCTCATTGCCTCTTTACCTCCTTGCTGGGAGCCTCTAGTAGGTGTCCATTGCCTCTTGTCCTGTCACTGGGCACCACTGTAAAGAGCTTGGCTCCACCATCTTTGCACCCTTCCTTCAGACAAATTGATAATTTCTCCCGAGTCTTCTCTTCTCAAAGCTAAACAGTCCCAGAACTCTCAGCCTTTCTTCATAGGAGAGGTGCTCTAGACTGATCATCTTTGTGTCCCTTCTCATGACTCTCTCCAATATGTCCATGTCTCTATTGTACCAAGGAGCCCAGCTCTGCACACAGGACTCCAGATGATGCCTCACCAGTGCTGAGTAGAGGGGAAGGATCATCTCTCTTGACCTGCTGGAAATACTCTGCTTAATGCATCCTAGCATGCCATTAATTGCTTTTTCATTGAGGTTGCATTGCTAGCTCATGTTCAAGTTGGTGTCCATGAGGACCCACAGGTCCTTCTCTGCCAAGTTGCTTTCCAGTAAGTCATTTGCTAGTGTGTAGTGGTGCCTGGGGTTATTCCTTCCCAGATGCAGGAGTCTGTATTTCCTCTGTTGAACTTTGAGGCGCCTGTCAGCCCGTTTATCTAATCTATTGAGGTTCCTGGGCAACCTGCTATAGATGATCCTGTTTAAACAGGAAGATTAGACCAGCTGATCTCAAAAGGTTCCTTCCAACCTCAATGACTTTTTGATTCTGTGATTAGGTATGGAGAAAAGGAACAGGATTTTAGCAGTGTTTTATATGTTTTCTATGTAAACTGTGGTTCTTATCATGCCAGTGTGCATTGAGAAATAAGTAGTCAATTAGCTACTTGACAGCAGATTGCTCCCAAAAATGTTTGTAATAATAAGTGCAAGGAAAATGTTACAGCCAACTGTGTTCTAGTCTGTTTAATTTCCATATTAAAAAAAAATGAAAAATTTACATAAAACAATTTGTCTGTATTTTTACTTCAACTGATAAGTTTTTATCAAGGTCATTGAGTGTCTTGGTTTGTTGGTCTATTCTTTTTGCATTTTTAAGGACGTCATTCATAAGGCCTAGATAATTTTACCATACAGTTAGAGTAAGGTTTTGAGACTTAGTAAAAAAAGGGAGTGCAACACTTTTCTAAACAAACATATTAATAATAGATGAACAGCTGAAATTTTGCAGTAATAAGAATTTGGAAATCTGCAGTATAGAGTGATTTAAAATTATAAGAGCACTTCACATTATAAGAATTTTAGTCTTCAAAACTAAAATGCTCTTAAAATTTTGAAGAGCTCTAGTATGCTAACTAGACAATACTGCAAATCTATATAACCTTCCATCCTGCTTTTTTTGATAGAATTCATCAGTAGTCTCAAGGCTTTCTTTTCTAAGGTCGGATGATGTTTTTGACTCAGATGGAAACTTGTATACAGAAACTTTATTCAGGAAGTGAATTTATTGCATTGCCTGAAATCAAAGCTGCTCATCCCTGTGAAGGAGCAAGATTCAGGATGGGAACAGTTCCAGGCATGGAGGAAAGCATACAGCAATTGGCAGGACTTTATTATATGGACCTTACAGTTATCATATGGACTTTACTGTTATTATGTGGTTTCATTGTATTCACACTACACAGTGCACAACCTGGTCGTGCCCAGGCTTACCATGAGTTTGCCTGCTGCCTGCTCCCTGCTTCCTCCACTCCTCCCCCTTTTGTCCATGTCCCTATCTTGGTTTGTTCCCCTGCTTGTCTGTCTCATGCTCCGCCCTATGTTCTGGCCCTTTCCCTGCCCGAGCTGACAAAAGACAGGGTGCACGCATGAAGAGGGCATTCTACTTGCACCCTTCCTCGTGTCCCATCCCCTCTTCGGACAGTGGCACATCCCTTACCACTCTGGCCCATAGTTTATGTTATATTTAGAAGGAAAAAAGAAAAAAAATAAAATCAAGCAAACAAAAAACCCCTCATAAAAGTCTCAATTTTCCATCTATGCATACTCTAACCACAAGAAAAAGACTGTCACATTTTATATACCTTCACTGTTGACCCATGGTGAAAATATTTAAAACATGTGTGTTTTGCCTCCAAAATGAAGTAGCTAAAGTTAGCTAAAGCTAACCATTTATGAAGACTTATTCAATGGGGAGAAACTTTTTAGATTGAAGTATGTCATATACATAATTACTTGTTCCTACCCTCACAACAATCAACAGAAATCAGTTTGATTTTTTGAATAAATCCTAAATTATTTGATGTTATCTCAAATTAAAAAGCAATCTCAATTTATTTAGTCACATTTTTTAAAATATGACAAATATATTAAAAACTTGAAAAAGCTGTGTTAAAAATAGTTCCAACAAGTACACTAGCATGTGTTTATATGATTAATGGATGAGGATTTTCTAAAGTGCTCATGGGAAAATTCTAATTCAATGAGTAATACAGTTTGAACTTTACATTTTTAATTAGATTACAAATTAATGAAAAAAATCTATAGAGTGTTTTAAACTTCTGAAACTTTAATGAGGCCTTTCAGTGACACTACAAAAAGAACATTATGCATTAGAAGGATATGAGCCTATTGTGTGACTGCCCTCAGTCTTCTTCATGTCTGTGTTGTGGGCAAAAAATGAACAATACTGGACTCTTACCTGGAGGATTTAATTCTGTCATTTAAGATGTCACAATGTAGTCTAAAGGAACTAACATGAACAGGTCAGTAGTTTTAAAATTAAAGGAAGTCTCATGTTCATTTCTCTACTGTTGATGAACAGGTTAATATTACCTTCAACACTTCATACTTCAGCCAATACGATTTTAAACTGGAAAGGAACTCATTCATTTTACCATTCTGTTTCTTACAGTGTTAACCATTACTTGTCTCTTTCAATATAAATATTCATGTATATCCAGTCCATCTCATACTTTTAAGGATATGAAGTCCAACTCACTTGAGAATTGACCATAAATCTTTTCCATAACCAGTTTAACCTGTTTGTATAGTGTGTATGAAAACAAAAAAGTTAAAATCTCCAATGAAATTAATCAGAGGACAACTCCCCCTAAAGAATTGTCCTTGACTGTTAATCCTAAGGATCATGTAGGTAGACCCAGAAGTGACGTTTCAGGTTTATCTGTAATACTCTATTAATAGTTCCCTGAAAGAACAAACAAACTGAAAATTAAGAGGTGCTTCCCTCTCTGATACTGAAATAAGATCTAGCTGCCAAGAAATGAGGGTGCTGTGTCACATTAAGTATTTTCTATATAAACCAGAATGAATATTAGAAGTTTTGATTCATTTGATTAAAAAAGACCCTTTAGTTTCCATCATTTTAGGAATTATCAATATCCTTTTTTTTTTTACAATATTGAGTTTGAAAGTACTATGCCAGTCTTTAGTTTAACCAACATTTATCTTATTTATCTAAATATGCAAACGTTTCTTCCGTGTAGACTTTCTGCCTGTGGTTTGTTTTTTTCTCTGGATAGTCAACCAGTAGCAAATATAAAGTTCCGAAATTTTGACCTTTTGACATATTTCTTCTTTTTGGAGTATGATAATTAGACTTTCTAAAACTTTACATTTGCTTATTGTAGAATGTAGCAGAGAACATTTAACATATTTTGAATTTTTATTGAACATACTGAATTAACTGAAATGGCATTGAAAACGTGGTGAAGTTTTTGAGTTCAAGGAAGAGAAATGGTTTCTTTTGATATGTGTTTTTAAATTAGATTCTGTCTATTGTTGCGTCTAACTGAACAATGATTACAGAATATAGATTTAGGGTTTAACAGACTAGACCATAGGTATCCCTCTCAGACCACACT